TAATTTGGGGCTTTACCGCCCATTTTTACAAATTGTAGTAAATTAAACTAGAAATGAATAACAACATCTCTTTATATAGTATAATACCTTTTATTAATCATAATAATTATAATATTTCATGATTTATCAATCTGTATAGTGTAAAATAAACTTACATAAAGGTTTTTTGTCTCTATTATTCAAAGCTAAATCAATTTTAAATTACATAAATTCTACCTAACACACATGAAAATTATCCTGAAGAACCGAATCCTTTTTCTCCTCTATCAGTTTCATCTAATGACCGAAGTTCCCTGAGTTCTGGATACACAATTTTTTCACATATTAGTTGTGCTACTCGATCTCCACGTTGAACGATAAAGTCTACATCAGAATGATTGAATAGGAGAATACCAACGTTTCCGCGGTAATCTTGATCAATTACTCCAGCTAGGATTTTAAAAAAAAATATATAACATTTTATTTAGTGATTAGATTTTATAAGCATACCTCCAACATCAATAAAATGTTTCCATGCTAATCCTGATCTCGGTGCAATTCTTCCATATGTACCATGTGGTACCACAATTTGTAGATCGGTCTTAATCAATTCTTTTCCATGTGCTACTACAATATATTGGTATGCACTTTTTAGATCGTATCCAGCCTCATGTTGACTTCCTCTAATCGGCGTGTATGCTTTATCGGTTAATTTAGAAAATAAAAGCATCTAAAGTTTTAAACAATCATTCATTCATAATAATCTTTATTTAATTTAACCCTAGCTTCATTTACTAATTTTATCATAGCATCATTCGTTTTTTTGTCTAAACTTTTTTCTAATTTTTTTTCTAATTCATCATTCATTAACGTCATATTTATTTTATTTTCCAAACTAGTGATACATTCTTTGAATGAGTTATTTAATTCAGATTTTATTGTTTCTATCGTATTTTTTGAAACATTAGTTATTGATTCATTATGTGTATTTAGTTTTTTTTCTAAACTATCTTTTAAACCAGTCTGAGTTTCTAAGATAGAATTTTTTATACTATTTTCCAAATCAATTAATTTCGAATTTAAATATTTACTAACTCCGATATCATTGAAATGATTTATATGATGACCAAAATAATCCATTATTAATTTAAAAATAGAGATCTTAACAGTGACAAGGACTTCTTATATACTAAAACCAAAACAAAAAAACTATATTATACGAGTTTACGCACTTCTCGGGTAAATGGCGAATACTCAACTATGCGGTCGTGTATTAACATACAATAAGCACTAACACCAGTTAAATTATCATCAGCTTCTATTTCTAAACGTAAGTCAATTGTAGAAGAAATTTCAGAATCGTTTTGTTTACTAACATCTAAAACAATAATTGGAGCATTTGATAAAAACAATTTTGGACTTAGTATCGGATTTCGAAGTCCATTTTCATAATATGATTCTTGAAACGATGTATACATATTATATAATAATGTAAAATCGTTGTGCGTAAAATCTAAATTTAAATTATCATAAGGATAAACATTTGAGTTCAGAAACACTTTAATATTTTTCAACTTAGAATGATCAAATTCGCTTTTGTCTGCAGTTATTGAATTGTTACGATTTTTTTGGAGGCCTACAATGATATAACGAGGTTTTTCCAATTTCGTTGATGTTTTTAAATTCCATAGTACATTTTTCGTGTCTCCGAGTTCAGGGTAAGTATATGTTTCAAATGATCTAAATGGTATAAACAAATGTTTTTCTTTTTCAACTATTTTCATTAACTTTAGACGCTGGCTATCATCAACACTAACATGAGGAACTTTCCAAACAATATTCTTAATATTCACACTACCTGTAGTTGCATCATCACTTTTTTTAATCAATGCATTTAAATCACTATTTGATCTAGTTAATATGAGTTCTATTCGTGAATTTAATAAAAATTTTCTATAATGCTCAAAAAAGCCTAACCAGTATTTTAGTGGTATACATGCTGTAAAATGACCATTTGTGTCTGATATGGATGAACTATTTTTGAAAGTCCATCCAGCATTTTCATAACAATAATAATTATCTGGTGTACTTGAAAGATATCCTTTGATAGAACTTGTAATACCTAACATTCGTGAACTATCTATCTCGATACCATTTAATTCTAAACGAACTTGTTCAAAAAGAAAAGATAATCCATTATTACCTAGTTTTACTTTATCTTTATCTTCAATGTCGCCTTCGATGTATAAAAAGCTTTCATGTAAATATGGGTATACATCAGTTTGTTGTACACATATCCTAATTTCATCATTATTATTAAAAGCTTTAGTATAAGGAATATATGAGTGAAAATCAAAATTAGTTATTTTCGAATCTGACACATAACCCATATCAACTTCCAAAATATCATTTTCAGGCATTTCGATTACTTTTTAATTCAAATCCAAGTTGTCTTAAAATATTTTTATTTTTTGACGTAAGATTTATACGTAAGATTTGTTAGATTTCGTTTTGGGAATGGAAGATTTTTTATGTGACGGTTCCTTTATATCTAATATTTTGTTTTGGAAATTAAAAAATTTCAACCCCATTTTATGAACCGTACCGTCTAATATGAAAAACTGTTGTAATTTTTTCACCTAAATTCTTTAGTGGTCTTTGATCCTGATCAACTAACTTTACCGTTATATTATTTATTTCATTTGTTATCAATGGATAATATATTAAGTTGCTAGGTGCTTCAACAATTTTTGATCCGTGTACTGCTGTAGGGTAAAACTCATAGACTGAGTGTGAGGGTTTGTTACCATCAAATGATCCTTGAGCAATACTACATAATACTTTTATTGAATTAATCATACTAATATTAACAGTTTTTTGAGATTCGTGTAATTTATTCGGTTCTAATTCCACTTCATCAAATCCTAAAACATGTCTTAAACTGTTATCAATAGTGAAATCGATTGTTTCAGAACAGTAAACATATGATTTAAATGTATTGATGTTTGGAAATATGCTAAATACAATATTTGGATGGGTTTTTTTAATCATGTTTTTAATATATTCATTTATTTGACTTAGTTCATAACACCCTGGTTCTATTTCAAGCTTTAAGATTTCTTTATCCGTTTGTTCACTCAGAATGTGTTCATTACTTTTTGAGAAAAAATCGGAAGATTTATTAATATTACTCGTATATGATTCCGTGAAATATTTAGATAAATGTCTTGGATTATGATCAATAGCATTCTTATCTGATTCTAGTGAAGAACTACTGCTTACAGGAACATCGCGTTTATTTAATATTGTATTGTTCTTTATAATTATTCTCAATTTATTATTGCTTTCATTAATATTAGGAAAAGAATTATATGTCTGAAGATTTAATAATGCTATTTCTGAGTCCTCAGCTATAGTTAGTGATGGAAAAAAATTTGTTGATAACTCTGTAGTGTTACCTGATAAACTTATTGTTGTTGATTCATACATTGTAAAAAATCAATACATAAATGACCACAAATAAATGTATTATAATTTTGATATTTTGAGTAATTATATAAAATATTGTACCCTTTAAAACGATTTTGGAGTTCAATTGGTGGTGGTAAATTACCAAAGCTATCAAAATACCATATGTTGTTATATTTTTTAAAGTAAGCAACCCAATGCGATCCTTTTTGACTTATTCCAGCAAGGTTAATAACCGCACATTCGTTTTTAAAAATAGTTTTTTGGTAAGCTGTCACGTGAAAATACACCACGGAAATGTGGAATTTTTAATTGTGCAACATGTTTTATAATGTCTTGAGAGGAAAGAGGTCTATTAGGTAGCATAGTAATTAGTTTTTTTTTTCTTAATATTTCTTCTTTTCTTCACACCTAAACCTGATTTGTCTAAGTATAAACCTTTACCATTACGAACATTCAAATATAAGCCTTTACCAATTTTTTTCGTTTGTCCAGTTTTAGAATCTTTAACAGCTTTATAGATATTTGCTGCACCAGACGCAAGACTACCGAGGGCTGAAAGTCCTGCAAATATTGGTATCAAAGGTATAGCAGAACCCCTTTGATTTGGTACCTTAATTTTTCTAACTTTTTTAGACTTTCTTCGAGATATTCTTTTTCTTACTGCTCCAACTAATTTACCACCTTTTTTAGCTTTGCAACAACCCATACCAACTTTACGTTTAGCTTTCATAATGTTAGTAACGGTGTAGGCTGCAGCTTTTTCCCCGAATGAACTATCTTTTGCTTTCACCCTATCCCACGCTTGAAATTCTAATTTTTTATCAGCTAAATTACGGTTTGTTACGTCTTTATTTTTTAAATACGCTATATCGTGGTCACGACAAGCCTCATCAAGAAGATTTATAGGTTTATCACCTCTAGCCAATCTTTTTTCAAGTTTTGTTCCAGGTCCACAATATTTATAACCTGGTAAATGTGCTTCGAACGGAAGTTTATTTATTAGTGTATTAACGAGACCTTTACCGGTTATACACTTTTGCACTCTTGGCATTTCCTATATATACTAAGTATTTTTTCTTAGTTCACAACTATTATATATACAAAAAAAATGCGTTTTATAGAACAGAATAGTAAATTAAATATTAAAAATATAGACACAGAAATTTCTAATAAAGCAATCTCAAGACATGGACCTTTACTACCAGATAGTATCCGATGTATTATTGTTGGATCTAGTGGCTCTGGTAAAACAAATGTAATGTTTAATCTTCTTACACATATAAATGGTTTAAAATTTGAAAACGTTTATTTGTATACAAAAACGCTTAACCAAGAAAAATATATTTTATTGAAACAAATTTTTGATGGTCTAGAAGGAGTGAAGCTGTTTATTTTTACGGAAGCTGAAGAAGTAGTTAAACCACAAATAACGAATCCAAATTCTATTTTTATTTTTGATGATGTGTTGTGTGATACTCAAATACCCATTCAAGATTATTTTAGTATGGGGAGACATTTTGGTGCTAATTCAGTTTTCTTTTTAGTTCAAAGTTATTCTAAAGTTTTAAAACGATTGGTACGCGATAACTGTAATTTATTAGTGGTGTTCAAACAAGACGAACGTAATCTAAGACATATATTTAATGATCATATTTCAACTGATATGGATTATCTAGATTTTCAAAAAATGTGTATTTATTGTTGGGGCTATGAAAAATATGGTTTTCTTGTTATAGATAAAACTAGAAATGTTAATGATGGTCGGTACAGACGTGGTTTTGATGTCTATATAAGCTTGGTGTAAACTGAAATATTTTTTAGTTTGCTAAAATGTCAGAAAACAAAATATTACTTAACAATTTGGTAGAATCAAAAAATAATATTAAGCGGAAAATTATGGAGTTAAAGCGCGGTGTTTTAGATTCTGAATATACATTTAACGAAACATTTAAACCGATTATAGAACCACTTAATATACTAGTTAATGACAATAAAATGAATAATGTTATTGATGAGGAATTATCTGTTACAACAAATGAGGAAAACGCTGATCCTCAATTATATGAATTCAACAATTTTATGAAATTACCTCCAAATAGAAGATCATATGATCCATCTTATGGTATGCGTTATGATAATATTGATAATCAACTAAAAATTGGTAATTTCCCAGTATTCATTGCCAACAATAAAATTTATGTAGCAGACAAAGACTATGATTGGACCCCAGGTCTATGGTCGTTACTTTGTGAAAAAAACCCTAAATTAACTACACGTCAGGATTTTAAATCGTATTACAAAATATTAGATGCTACAGAGGTTCACTTAAATGTTAACGGAGGACCTAAATCTAGCCAATCCTATAAATGGACTTTTATTGTTAAGCCCTATTATACTGAAAAAATGTTACAATTGAAGACAACAAAAAGAGCGAAACTTGATGTCAGTTTTATAGCTTCAAAGGCAGCGGAAGCTGCTCATTCAAAAGATCCAATCACATTTGAAAAACCTACTGACTTAGAAAAGTCAGACGATTTTAAGTCAAAAGAAGGATCTGGTATATTATATAAGAATGTACAACCTAATACACAAATCATTTATTATGATAATCCAAATGAATTAGTGTCTAGGCTTGCTCTTTTAATGGCTTCTAAAGAGGCTGGGAATACAGGTGTAAGTAATGAAATAATATCAATAATTGAAGAACTTCGTGAACGAAAAATTATTGTTTAATTAAAAAAAAAATATATATATATAAACATTACCACTCCTCCTCTATACAATTATTTTTACTTTCTTCTAAAAAGTATTTTTTTAATGAATTTAAATTTAAATTAAAAAAAAGAAATGGTATTTTTTTAGAATTAATTATTAATAAATCATATTTTTTAATTATACTATCTACTTATTCATCTATCTCTTCCCAGCTTATTTGTACTTCTTCTTCTTCTTCTTCTTCATCCTCTTTTTGATTCAATAAATCCTTTCTATACCTATAATATTTTAATATATGGTTTAAAAAATAGAATATGTTTTACATTTTTTTATATTACCAATAATCAATTTGTTCATCTTCTTCAACATCATCCTTATCTTCTATCTTCAACTCCTTAAAATATTCTTTAATCAGCTCGATTTTCTCTTTATGTTTTAAATGGTCCGGGATCCAAGGAACATAGTCGCAACATATTATCATTTCCAAGTTATAATTAGAAATAGTTTGGTTTATAAATTGTTGGTCGTTGTTACAAATCATTATGAACTGTAAAATAATGTAATAAAAATTAAGGTGATAGAAAAAAAATTATTTCAACTAGTTTACATATTAATCTATTATGACTTCTTTAAGAGATATAGCCAACGAATTACATAGATCAGCTAGAAAAATATTTCCTAGACGTAAAGTTATTACAAGGTTCATGGATGAACTTTGGCAAATTGATTTAATGGATATGCAGGCGCATTCGAGGAAAAATAGTGGTTTCAAATATATTTTAGTTGTTATTGATACGTTTACTAAATACGTATGGTTAGAACCTTTAAAAAATAAATCAGCAATTACTATAAAAGATGCGATGATGAAAATATTAAAAACTCATCAGCCTAAATTTGTTCAATCGGATTTTGGATTGGAATTTCATAATGAGAAATTTCAAAATATTATGAAAAAATATAACATTAAACATTATTCAACTTATAGTAGTATCAAGGCGGGGATGGTAGAACGAGTGATTAGAACTTTAAAAAATTATATTTATACAAATTTTACAGCTCAAGGCAGTTGGGACTGGATAAAAGCATTACCAAAACTAGTAAACAGATATAATAATAGTAGACACAGAACAATTAGTTGTACTCCACAAGAAGCCAGATTAACTCCTCATTCTGTTACACATAAAAGTTATTCTAGCAAAAGTTTAGAGAAAAAACCAAAATTTAAGTTAAATGA